CAAGTGGCTTCAAAATCTGAAAATTTTCTATTTCCTCCACCTTTCTTTTGGGTTTCTAAAATCGAATGGAAGCATTGTCTTGTTATGCCCTTTGTGATACACTTCCTCTACTTTCTCGTTCAGACTTGTGGACCAAAAAAATCTGCATATTGTTTCAGCCAAGGTTTGTAACTGTTTTCGTGTTTCCAAGCGCACCTTGCATTCCTTCATATTCACTTCCAGATTTGCCGCATAACAAGCAACCCTTCAAAGTCACACTCTAAAGCCTCAATGTATGATTCTATTCACCTTAATAATACCACCATTTCCCCTTGATCTTACTGCTCTGATACCAGTGATAGAAATCGGTACCAAAATACAAATTAATGGTAGAAACTGACTTTTATTTATGGCAGAATATGCTTACAACAGACACATAATTACAAACACTATAGAGAATGCATAATACTCACATAAACTAATCCAACAAATTAGAGAGTCTGATCTCTCCCTCCAAGAATTAGAGAGCTTGGTCTCTTCCACCCAAAATCATTCAATAACTATACTATAATTTGTTTCTCTTTTCCTTTCTCTATTTATTCTAAAATAGAAACACACATAATCCATAACTTCCACACATAACTGACATCAGTTAAAATAACTACCCATAACTGCTCATCGATAAAAATAACTACCTATAAAGAAACAAACAATCTGTATTTCTTTGATATTGTAGTAAGTAATACATGAAAGGTATTTATAGAATACAAGGGACAAATCACTTTAAATGCTAATTCTAAATATGGTAGAAGACAACTAATTACCAATTATTAATAGCTAATTACTAATTATTATTTACAATGAATATTATGCTGAGTTGTATAGCACAGATTCTGTTGATTCTATACTTATCTCTCTAATAACTTCCAACACTCCCCCTCAAGTTGGAGAATGAATATCTATCATCCCCAGCTTGCAAGTAAGATCTCGAAACCGCTCCAAGGGAAGTCCTTTGGTGAGCACATCAGCTAATTGAAGTCCTGATGGGATGTATTGTGTAGAAATAAGACCACTATCCAATTTCTCTTTGATGAAGTATCGGTCTATCTCTATATGCTTTGTTCTGTCGTGTTGGACCGGATTGTGAGCAATACTAATGACAGACTTATTATCGCAGAAAAGTCTCATAGGAGCTTCATACTTTATTTTCAAGTCATCTAGAATGATCTTCATCCACAACAGTTCACAAACTCCTTGAGCCATGGCTCTAAACTCTGTCTCTGCACTTGATCTAGCAACTACATTTTATTTCTTGCTCCTCCGTGTCACTAAATTTCCACCTAGGAACATACAATATTGAGTGGTGGATCTTCTGTCAACAATCGACCCTGCATAATCCGCATCAGTATAAACCTCCATAGACAACTGCTCACTTTTCTTGAACAATAGTCCTCTTCCTGGGCATATCTTTAGATACTGCAAGATTCTATCCACTGCCTGTAAGTGCCTCTTCTGTGGGTCATGCATGAATTGACTGACAACACTAACCGGATAAGCTATGTCAGGCCTGGTGTGAGATAGATAAATGAGCTTTCCCACAAGTCTCTGGTATTGAGCTTTATCAACCCTTGGGCTTTTCTCATCACTCCCAATCTTGTGGTTTTTCTCTATAGTCACTCTGGAGGGTTTACAACCCAACTTGTCAGTCTCTTTGAGAAGGTCAAGGACATATTTTCTCTGAGAAATGAAAATGCCTTGTTTTAAGTATGTTATCTCCATACCTAGGAAATATTTCAACTTTCCAAGATCCTTCATTTCAAACTGAGCTGCCAACTCCTTCCTCAAGTTCTTCTCAAATTCATCATTACCTGCTATGATCATATCGTCTACGTAGACTAACAAAAGAGTGAGTTTACCATTTTGAGCATGCTTTATAAAGAGTGTATGATCACCTTGGCTTTGTTTATAACCCAAGGACACCATAACATGAGTGAGCCTCCCAAACCAAGTTCGAGGTGATTGCTTGAGCCCATATATGGCCTTCTTTAACCTGCAAACCTTATTACTTCCCGAAGTAGGGTCATATCCGGGTGGGATCTCCTATACACCTCTTCCTCCAAATCTCCATGCAAGAAAGTATTTTTCACATCAAACTGTTGCAACTCCCAATCAAAGTGAGCTACCAAAGAAAGAATGATTTTTACGGTGTTTATTTTTGCTACCGGAGCAAATGTCTCTTCATAATCAATTCCATAGGTCTGAGTGTATCCCTTTGCAACTAGCATCGCCTTATATCTGTAGAGTTACCGTCGGATCGGTCTTTTACCGTATATATCCACCTGTAGCCCACTGGCCTCTTGTCATTTGGCTTCTCAATAATCTCCCAAGTCCCATTTTTCTCTAGTGCATGCATCTCTTCGTTCATGGCTTGAATCCAATTCTTATCCTTTAATGCTTCTTATACTGATGCGGGGACTCTAATAAAGTCAATGGCTGAAATAAAACTTTGATGCTGCACAAAAATCTTTTCAGTAGACACAAAATGGGATATAGGGTATTTGGTACAAGACCTTTTTTCTTTTCTCAAAGCAATAGGTAGGTCATCAAGGTTTGGCTCACAAGAATTACTAGGCTCGGGTTCAGACGATTGGATTAGTTGGGGCAGAACGAGTTTACCTTTCCACCTTTTTCGCTGGAACTGTAACTTGTATCTGTCAACATTATTATGCACCGGTATTGGTACATCACCACTATCCTCATTAGGCATCAAGGGCTTCTGTATTACAGGAATAACAGGAAGAACAGACAACTCAGGAGACGACTCTGGGTCCTGTTATCTCAGGTACAGACAATTGGACTTGTTAGGGCAGAACGAGTTTACCTTTCCACCTTTTTCGCTGGAACTGTAACTTGTATCTGTCAATATTGTTATGCACTGATATTGGTACGTCACCACCATCCTCATTAGGCATTAAGGGCTCCTGTATTACAGGAATAACAGGAAGAACAAACAACTCAAGAGACGACTCTGGGTCCTATATTAGAAGAATAACAGGAAACTCAGGAGACGACTCTGGCTCCGGTATTAGAGGAATAACAGGAAGGAGAGACAACTCTGAAGACTCAACTTCTTGATTATTCTCCTCCTGAAGCTGATGAGTGAGATAAAAGACTCAGATTCCTGAAAAATAACATCCATGGATATATAAACACGACGACTAGGAGAATGATAACACTTGTACCCCTTCTTATCTTAAGCATATCCTATGAAGATACATTTAATAGCCCGAGGATCTAACTTACCCCGATGAGTACCATGAACATGGACAAAGGCAGAACAACCAAATACATGATTCTGAAGACTTGACATAATGGGCACGGACGAAAAGAATCGAGTCAGGACCTGCACAAGACTAACACCAGATAACACCCTAGAAGGTAACCTATTGATTAAATAAGCAAAGGTCAAGACAACTTCCCCCCAATAAAATTTAGGAACATTCATTTGAAAGCGTAATGCTCGGGTGATTTCAAGAAGATGACGATTTTTCCTTTCAGCAACCCCATTTTGTTGTGGAGTGTTAACACAAGTCAACTCATGAAAAACACCATTACTTTTGAGAAAATTGTGAAAAATTTGGTTTACATACTCCTTACCATTGTCTGACTGTAACCTTTTAATAGGTTTCCCAAACTGTGTTTTAACCATTTGAAAAAAGTTAACAAACAATTGACACACTTCAGACTTATCTTTCATAAGAAAAACCCATGTAACCCGAGTACAGTCATCAATAAAAGTAACATACCATTTTGCACCAAAAATATTGGAAATGGATGAAGGCCCCCATACATCAGAATGAACAAGATCAAAGGGTTCGATACTCCTAGTATCACTAGGGGAATAGGTTGCTCGATGGGATTTGACAAACTTTCACACATCACAATGAAAGGAATCAACAAACACTTTGGAAAATAGGTGATGGAATAGAGACCTGAGCATGCGGAAAAGAGGATGTCCAAGACGCCTGTGTTGGAGCCATATTTGAGTATTTGCTTGACTCTGAACCAGTCTGATGACACTTGCTTTCCTTATGAGGCAGATGATATAACCCGTTCTGTTCCTCAGCAATTCCAATCGTCTTCCCTGTGGCAAGGTCCTGAAAACACACAATGAGAATGAAAAAAGATTACATCACAATTCAAGTCTTTAGTGAGTTTATGGTTGGACAAAAGATTGTTAGAAAGCTTAGGGACATGAAGCACATGATTTAGGTGGAGAGATGGGCTTAGGCGGATGTTACCAGATCCGACAATCGGGGTTTGAGACCCATTTGCAACGGTAATATGACGTTTATTAGGTATAGGTGAATAAGAAGAGAGATATGACATATATGGGATCATGTGATCAGTTGCACCAGAGTCAATAATCCAGATATCTTTAGAACAAGAGGCATTAAAAGCTGAGAAGCTAGAGTTCTTACCGGTCATGGTCAGAGAACTAGTGTTAGAGAACTTACTTAAGGAGTCCATAAAGAGAAACAAACCGTCTCGAGCCAGGAGAGTCGAGATCTACTGTTAAGAGAAGATCGAAGGGCTGCCAATGAGAAACTCCAACAAAGATGACAACCAAACAATCAAGGGTTCAAACAGTAAGAAACAGAGGTACAACAATGAAGGTTGTCTTGGAAACAACTGTTAAGAGTCCCACATCGGACAATATATGGCCTGAACATGTGTTTATAAGTGGGGGCAATCCTCACCCTATAAGCCGGTTTTGTAGGGTTGAATTAGGCCCAACCACATCTTAATATGGTATCAGAGCCTCGTTTAAGATCCAGTGGGCCATCCACCATTTATTTTCCACGCTCCAGTTGTCTAGTCCTGGGCGTGAGGGGGTGTGTTAAGAGTCCCACATCGGACAATATATGGCCTGAACATGTGTTTATAAGTGGGAGCAATCCTCACCCTACAAGCCGGTTTTGTAGGGTTGAATTAGGCCCAACCACATCTTAATAACAACAATGAAGGTGAAACCGTCGGGATCTGCAACGACAGTTGAGCGGTGCACGACGGCTGCAAAGTCTCTGAGATCAATAGGGTTCCAAGAGAAAGGGAACCTTGACCAAGAAAAAGGCCGTAATAAGAATGACTAGTGTTTTGAGCGCGGAAGCAGAGCCCCTAGAATCGGGTGCTCTGATACCATAAAGAAACAAACAATCTGTATTTCTTTGATATTGTAATAAGTAATACATGAAAGGTATTTATAGAATACAAATGACAAATCACTTTAAATGCTAATTCTAAATGCTAATTATAAATATGGTAGAAGACAACTAATTACTAATTATTAATAGCTAATTACTAATTATTATTTACAATGAATATTATGCTGAGTTTTATAATACTGAATATGTTGATTCTGTACTTATCTCTCTAATAACTTCCAACAACCTATAATAAGAAGCCTATCATAGCTTCCACTAGGTTACTATTTTTTGCTCATTTCATTGCCTAATTTGATCCTTGGCGAGGTTTTTCTTTCCCTTTTGCTCTCCTCCCTTCTTTTACTATTCTTTTACCTTGATTGTGCTTTTGCAGAAACCTGGAGGAATCATTGCTCTTCTCGATGAAGCATGGTAAAATATTCTTACTTTCCAAAAACTACTTTTAATTACTCGCTAAATGGTTTTAACTTTTCTTCTTTTTCACTCTAGTTTGGTTAAATTAGACATGATCCAGATTTGTGTGATTTTGTTGAATCTAAAGCTTCTTGTCACATTACATACTGAATCTACATTTGTTACTCTCTTTTTGTTATCTTTTTTTTTTTTCAGCATGTTTCCAAAGTCAACACATGAAATGTTTGCAAACAAGCTTTATCAAATGTTTAAGGATAACAAGCGCTTTATTAAGCCAAAATTTTCGCAAACAGATTTTACCATTGCTCATTATGCTGGAGAGGTATGACAAGCTCTCTTCAAATTGGTTCATACAACTTTTTTTACTGCTTATTCATTTTTACCGTAAAAAATATGCAGGTGACATACCAATCTGACCAATTTTTAGACAAAAACAAGGATTATGTGGTTCCTGAACATCTAGATTTATTGATTGCTTCCAAATGTCCTTTTGTATCTGACCTTTTTCCACCACTCCCTGAAGAGACATCCAAATCTTCCAAATTTTCTTCAATAGGTTCTCGTTTTAAGGTATCTTTCTTTTCCTAAACTTCACTGCTAAACTTGGGGAGTTTGCCTCAAGTGACAATTAAGAAATTTGATACAAGCTCTTGTCAAAAAAAATTATTTGCGTCCTTTTCATCAGGAAGCTAACGAAATTTGAATGGTGCAGCTACAACTACAGGAACTAATGGAAACATTAAGTTCTACAGAACCCCATTACATTAGATGTGTGAAACCAAACAACCTCCACAAGCCTGCAGTTTTTGAGAATGTCAACATTAGGCATCAACTTCGCTGTGGTGTGAGTATACTTTTATGTTCTACCTATATTTTATTCTTTGTATAGTGATCTTTGAAGCACGAATTCTGACACAGACGACTGACACGACACAAACACGTCGACACTGCTAATTAAAAAAATATTGGACATTATCTATATTTTTTAAAATATGAACCTTACCTATAAAAGATCTATAGATAATTAAAATATATATGTGCATCTAAATTGAGTAATTTTTTTCATTACCAAAAAATTCTTAAACAAAATACAATAGTTTTTCATCTTCATTCATCCATCAAATGTTCTGGAAAGTTAAAAATAATGTAATCAAATTTAATGTCTTTAACCCCTTCACTGTTTATTACTACTTCGACATATCCTTAACTCTCGTAAAAGTGAATGAGAAGTCCCCAAGAAGAAGTGTCTCAGGTGTGTCAAAGCAAAGAAAGCAAGTTTTTTTGGAACACTTGTCTGACACGACGAGACGCTTAATCCCTTAGGTGTCCATGCTTCAGAGATAGTGGTTCATACAAAACTATAGTTTATGCAAGTCTTCTACCCTTCTTCAGCTGTCCCTTAGTCTTTCCCCTACAGGGTGTGTTGGAGGCTATCAGAATCAGTTGTGCTGGCTACCCTACACGTTGCCCTTTCGTTGAATTTGCAAACAGATTTGGTCTTTTTGCCCCGGAGGCCACGGAAGCAAAGTAAGTACTGTTTTAATATATATTGTAAGCCCGGCAGGAAGTAAGCTTTGATTTGACATGCCAAATATTTTGGGCCAAACTTGGCCATACTCTAATTTGTGAAGTTATTTCACCTATGAGCAGGTGTGATGAAAAGAATGTTTGCCAAAAGATTCTGGAAAAGACAGGGCTGAAAGGATATCAGGTAATTTGAAATGTTTCAGTAGAATGATTATTGATTTTGTGTTCTAGTGCATAGTCTTGTTATAAAGCTCTTAACACCTTAGCAACAACTATAACTCATGCTCATTGTAGCATTCATTTATAATACCTTTTTAGATTTAGCTACAAACATCAATAGGGATCTTGTAGTCTTATAACATGCATCTGTGTATAATATTTATTCCTGACTCTCACGTTCACATAATTTGTTCGATTGGCTGACCAATGTTGTAGATTGGAAAAACAAAGGTATTCTTGAGAGCTGGTCAGATGGCTGAACTAGATGCTCGGAGAGCTCAAGTACTTGGTAATGCAGCAAAAGTTATCCAACAGAACATACGGACCCATCAAGCTCGGAAACATTATCTTGCTTTGCAAAAGAAGACCATATATTTGCAGTCTCGGTGGAGAGGTAAGATATTTTAAAAGTGAAATAGCCTAACTCATTTTTGAGGATAGATGTATTTTTATTTTCAAAAAGTATAGACGTCTTTAATTAGAACAGTGTAGCTCATTGAATCATTCTCCCTTCTCTACATAATATAATTTAATATACGCAACATACTTTTTGTAGGAAGACTGGCATTCAAACTCTATGAGAAAATGAGAAGGGAGGCTGCTATTGTGAAAATTCAAAAGAACATACGCAGTTATGAAGCTAGGAAGGCATATAAAGAACTTCATATGTCAGTACTTACTATGCAAACAGCTTTAAGAGCCATTGCTGCTCGCAAGGAGTTCAGATTTGGGATACAGACCAAAGCTTCCATCATTATTCAGGTTTTGGTTAAGAACTAATTTAGATTCCAGTAGTGTTCATTATTTCAAATTCTCTCTCCCAATAAAATGCAGGCTCGGTGGCGGTGCCACAAAGCGGCCTTATATTATAAGAGGCTCAAAAAAGGCTCAATAGTTACACAATGTAGATGGAGAGGACGTTTAGCTACGGGAGAACTTAGGAATCTGAAAATGGTATATTTCTGTGTTTACCATGATTCTTATACATTAAGTAGAACCTTAAAAAAAAGTAGAACTTTCAGAAATATATGACTGAATATGTGTTGTACTCAACCTGCATAACTTCGGCACAATAAGTGAAAGATGCTATCTAATGATTTTCTTTTAATAATAAAGTTATGCTTATCATGTAAAATTACGTTCAAATTTTATCATTTTGGGAAGGGAACAACAACAGAATAAAATAGAAATAGTCTTTTGATCTGAAGTTTTTTGAAAATGGCTTTAACTTTTCTCATGTGATTACAAAAGCCAAAAGATTTGTGTTTTTAATTTAGATTTTTTAAACCAGTCAAATCTCAATTGTGAAAGAAGTGATGCTGATAACATAAAAAACCTTGGAGAGAACTCCAAACACTAATATTCCATTTGTATTGATCCTGAATTAATTCATGCAAAAGTTCTGTCCCTGTACTTTTTCGTTCTTATTTTTGATGGTTATAACTTATATCAAGGATCTAATCTAAAACTGTCCTCACCTTGTTCTAACTGATCAAGTTGTATATTTATAACTTATTGTTAGTATTTAAGTAGCACGAACCTTATTTTCAATTTTCGTTTTTCATAATATCATTTCCTTATTTCATTTTTATCCCATCTAAGTTGACAGCTGTTTCCATTTGCTTTAGGCTGCAAGACATACTGGCGCACTTTTAGAAGCAAAGAGTAAGCATGAAATACATGTAAAGGAACTTACTAGGTGTCTCCAACAGGAAAAAGGTTTAAGGGTGAGATATATCTTTTTTTTAGATAGATATAACACGGAAGGATAATGTTTTGATCTCTTCTACAATTGCCATTTTGAAAAGAAAATATTAAAAAATATCTATAGTATTTTTTTTTTAAATAAGCAACATTTTCAATTAAAATACCACAACAACCATCTTTTTCCATTATTAACCAAAATAATCATGTTTCAAACAGATGGTTATTTTGGTTAATAATTATTTTTTGTGTAGGAACTTTTATAATGTTCTAAAATTCATGCAAAAATTCGTTCAAAAATTTAAGTGAGACTTAATATTAATGACTAAAACTGTTCAAGGTTAGTTTTGTACAGACTAAAAATTGAAGAAAATTTTTTAAGGGACTAAAACTGAAATGTTGAAATTTTATAAGGATTAAAAAGATATTTAACCCTTTTATTTTAAGCCCGTTTAATTTGACAGCTGTTTGCATTTTTTCTTTAGGCTGCAAGAGATACTGGCACACTTCAAGAAGGCGCACTTCAAGAAGCAAAGAGTAAGCTTGAAAAACAAGTGGAGGAGCTTACTTGGCGTCTCCAACTGGAAAAAGGTTTAAGGGTGAGGATGTTGTTCTGATCTCTTACACAATTGTCATTTCGAAAAACTAATTTGCACAAATTATAAATGAAATGTAGTGTAAAAGGCCAAATATTTGAAAGTTCCCAAGTTTTCTCTAAATTGGTAAACCCTGAAGAAAACCATTTGGAATTGTGTGCAGACAAATCTAGAAGAATACAAAGCACATGAGATAGCAAAACTGAAGAATTCATTGCAGGAGATGAAGAAAAAGGTTGATGAAACTAATGCCCTTCTCCTCTTGGAGCGAGAAGAGAATGCAAGGAAAGCTATCGAAGTAGCATCTCCTGTCATTGGAGAAGCAAATGTTCTTGTTGAAGATCCAGAGAAGTTTAAGAAACTGAGAATTGAAGTTGAGAGCCTAAAGGTAAAGTTAGACATAATTTTCTGTTAGGTGAACCTTATTTCAAGGATGCGTCTCTCTGTGTACAATGCTTCTTTTAAAATTGAATCATGTATGACTATATATTTTAGTTTGATATGGATTTATAGTTCTTAGATTGATGCATCGATTCTTGGGTCTCTTAAAAAATCATTGGTTAATTGGAAAGGATATTTTTTATTAAAATTGGAAAGAATAATTTAACAAATATATGACTTGATGTTATCAGATTGAGAGACAGAAAGAATTTCCATTTTAAGATGCTACTAAAATAGCAATTCTTTTATCCTGGATAATATGTATACAATAATGTTTAACTTGGATAGTTAACAGAACTTAATATGCTCCTCATCAAAGATTTTTCTAACTCAATGAAACCTTTGCAGTATAATTCCAAGTATTTGTATGAGATGCTGTGTATAGATCCTCAATATAAAGGGATGTAACATGGTGTGTTTTCTTCCTGTTATTTTGAGAAACAGTAAGGTAAATTCACATGATTATTCTTTCACCTAATTAATTCTATAGCCAAAATAATGTATTCATAATTGATGAAAAATAAATGAAAATGAAGTTATTCAACTATAGTTGATGTCGGTTTATGTTTTAATAATGATAGTTGATGTCCGTCAATGAAACATGGATACAAAACCTGGATCCTAAATATAAGACATCGGCCCCAACGTGGACACTTTTTTAAGGTGCCTGGCATGTATCTTCAGTGTCATGTGCCAGTGTTCAACGCGTGTCGTGGACACAACTAAACCCAGGATGTTTGGTGCTTCACAGATTACTGTTGGTATCCATCCTGAACAATAAGCCCTATGGGCATCAAGTGTGGACAATAATCAAGTGCACTTTACCTTACGCCGAAACTTACCTTAATTATTAACACCTCTAAAGAATGTGGATGACAAGGATGAAGATTGAACAATTGACCCTCATAGAGACCCCGATAACATGTAGGCGTGTTAGGAACAAATCATTTTAAAATTAAGAGGTTAGATAGAGGAACACGAATGGTTTTATATCAATAATTTTCATCTGCATGATATACTTTAATTCAACATATTATTTAAGTGTAATGATTCAAGTAAAATGTTTTGTTTTTGAATATGCTATTGGAGTAGTTTATCACAAAACTGACTAAGGAGCACAACTTCCTTCTAAGCTTATGGGGACATGCCTATGCTATTGTGAGCAGTATATCATGATGATATATTTGTATGTGATATTTTCTTGTCATTATCTTCTCAGACTTCACTCAAGTTAGAGAAACAGAAAGCCTATCACTATGAAAGGAAATATAACGAAGCTAAAATTTATTGTGAAGAAAGAAGTAAAAAATTAGAGGATACGGAGAAGAAGCTTCGCCAGCTCCAAGAATCAATGACCAGGTAATATATATAATGAACAAGAATCCCTGATTTACATATACTCATGATAATAAATAGTTGATTTTATGAAAATATTAAATGGAATGCTTAAAATTCTTGAGCTGTTGTAAAGGTTTTCTTTCTAGTGAAATGTGGGATAATCTCATTTGGTAACTTACCTTCAATTTATCTTTCTTTAACTTAGGTTTACTTCTCGGAAGACTTTATAGCTAATTACAAAAGTCATCTCAAAAGGATGTCCGAGAATCAGATCAGAAGAGAATATAACTAATTTAGCATCAGATAATCAGGTTCTACGTCAACAAGCTTTGGCCATGGCACCTAATAAGTTTCCTTCACGATGGTCCAGATCAATTGTTCCTCATATTGAATAATATGTGCATGAAAACAAACTAAAGCTTGGCACTGGTTTAAAAGAGTTTCTTGTCTCTGTTTGGAGAGAACTGCTGAAAGTGGTCATACTGCCATGGGTGCAAAGACATCTTTGGTAATTAAATCTGTTTTAAGTCATCTGTGATTGGTTTGGGTATTTTCTATATAAATTTTACTTTTTTCTTGGTCACCAAATGGATTTATTAGGAACTGCATATCCCATCAATGAACCAGAGGGAATCCTCTAAGATAGAGGATAAATCACTGATGTCACTAAAGGAGAAACAAACAACAGGAGAATCAAGAGTTACTCATTAGATGTATTGCACGGCCTCTAGGCTTTACTGGGAACAGACCAATTGCTGCTTGTGTCATATACAAATGTCTTTTGGATTGGCAAGCATCTGAAGTTGAGGGTACTGATACAAAGTGCTTTTGATCATATCATCTGCTTTTGTCCATGCAATTGAGGTGTGAAAAATATAACTTCCTCGTGCTAATGCTCTTATTCGGAACATATTACTTTCAAGTCACTGATATTTCCATTTGGACTTCAGACCTAGGATAACAATGATGCTTTGGCCTATTTGTTATCCAATGCCTCCACACTTCTCTTTTACTCCATAACATACTCAAACAAGCGGTTTTGCTTGAATGGCTCCACAACACCGCCGTTCTTCATCAGCAACCCTGTTTGGGAGGATGACTCAAGTAAACATAGCTTCTCTGTTACAGTATTTGCACTGTTAGCGTTTTCATTTAGCTAGTCATTCAAAGTGATAATGTGTTGAGTTGGAAGTGTGTAGTAGTAAGTTGTTGGAATATTCTCCTTATTGTAACTTGTAAAGGGTTATGCCAAAATTATGATCAAGAATTTACTGAATGAATCAACACTTTTCTCTCAAAAGATTATTCTCATCTCTGTGAATGCTTTATGGTTATCTTCTCCAACCTTTAAGCAAGAGCTGGGGAATCAATAAATTGAGTGGTTTCCCGTGCTAAAGATCGAAGAAGATAACCATAGAAAGTATTTAGAGAGATGAGAATAATATTTTGGTTGAAATGTGTTGATTCATTCACTAGATCCATGATCATAATATAGGCATGAACCTTTACCACTACGCACTTGCCAGCTCAGCACATAACCACTTTGAATAACCAACTAAATGAAAGTGCCAATAGTATGTAAGTGCTGTAACATTCTGATTTGAATAGATTAATCCTCATTGTTCAGATAATGCAAAATGATAAAACCAGAAATGAGATCTGAATAATTATCCTTTTATTGAAAGGATAGTGGACAACAATCTTTCCCATATCAATGGTAGCACAAGCAGGGGAGTAGATATTAAGACAAGTTGAAGCTGAGTACCCAGCTCTACTTTTCAAACAGCAGCTTACAACCTATGTGGAAAAGATATATGGAATCATTAGTGATAACTTGAGGAAAGAAAATTTTCCCTCTTGGATTATGAGTTCAGGTATGCATAAATGATAATTTTTCCCATTTGATACATTTCCCTTGAAATTCAGTCAGTTTTTTTTTAAGGCAATCAGCTGAAATATCGTTGTTTTTTCTTCTAGTCACACCTCTTAGAATTCAAATTACACTGAAAAAACCATACTACCTCTATTTTAAAATAAAATTTACAAAACTCATTTTCTTCCCACAATTCCTCTCACCGTATCTCTCTCCACTTCCATTCCTATCCGCCACCTTCTTTCGTTCCACACCATTTTCGCAAACATTTTTCGTGGGCAAACTTGCAGCCATTCCACTCCACATTTATGTAGAGCAAGGTTTCTCTCATTTCAAAAGTAAGAAATTCATAAACCCTCACTTCCATTCATGCATTTTTTTGTGATTTCGAGCTCTATTTAGGAGATTTCATACTTCCTTTTGTTGATTCTGTGTTCGATTTTGAGTTGAAAAGTTGGCGTTTTTCGCTATCTACATTTCAGGGATGTACATGAATAGGTTTATGTTATTTCAGTTCATGCAGAGTAGGTAAACTCAGTTAACGTAGGTTCATTATTAATTATTTAATTTCCTTTATGTGCAGGCATGGTGCAGACATTTACTACTGACAGTGAAAGGCGTGTTAGATTGACTGTGTCGGCACGTCGACGAGGCGGCAGGCATGCTACTTGTTCAGAGCAGCAAACAGTGGAGGAGCCATATAAGGAGGTGGCGGAGCTCCATCTAGATGTTCAGGATATAGGAGCTGATGATGCAGAGGTAAATGAATTTCCCGAATGCCCCACTGTCACATCTGTTCTTAAGGCATGTGAGGACTAAGTGGTTGGCTGCTTTTGGGAGGAAGTGGTGATGTATTGTTAAAATTCTTGTTCGTTTTTTTTGTTCAAATAACTTTTAACACACACACAAATATATATATATATATATATATATATATATATATATATATATATATATATATATATATATATATATATATATATATATATATATATATATATATATATATATATATATATATATATATATATATATATATATATATATATATATATATATATATATATATATATATATAATTTCCATTTATTTCAAGATCTCCAGCAACGGAAAAAAGATGAAGGAGGTTGTCCTTTAAATGACCTGTCAGACTGTGTTGACGTGTATATGGAGTGGTTTTGATGATCTCCCATCCTTACATCATTCGACTAGATCCAGAGCCAACTGTTGCAGGTCTGTCTAAAGATCCATCATCATTGGTAAATTAGTTAAACTTTATTAATTTTCATTTTCAATGTTCATTAAATTTTCCTTACAAATTGTTTCATTTCTATCAAAGGTCATACAAATTGTCAATTCTCTACTCAACAAACAATATTTTACACCTGATGGGATTCCACTCGCAAGAGGAAGATGTAAAGAGTTAGACAGAGTCAGCGAGACATTTAGATACCTCTACTAGGATTGGGCGACTTTAGCTATTGATAACTTTTGGTAACTTCCACTCTATCTCACTCTAAATTCTATTTGATATATTTAAGTGTGCAAGAGTATCCGTGAAGAAAGACGCATTTCTTGAATGATACACAGGAGGGGAGATTGTCTCTTAGGTCAGTAATGTTGTGCTTTATGGATGAGTGGGAGAGAAACATGCATGTTTAGACTTAATTGGGGTTTTCTCAATGGTGAGACTAAGAATTGAAGGTTTTATTGTGGGTCATTCAGCTTTTAAAGTCGCTTCAAATAAAGTGGACAAACATGATAAAATGGGTTTTGACAATCAACATGTTTTTGTATCGTTTGTCTTTGACACTTTTGATTTTCTAGCACCATAAATAGTGGATCTTTTACAAAGAGTGGAAATGTTCATACATAACAATGTTGTGTTAATTAGGACAATGAATGTATTTTTTAAGAGGATTGATTTTGCCATCCGAAAAAGGTAGTGACGCAACTTATTGCCCGTTTGTCTGCTATTTCTATATAATCTTGCTTATATTAAAACAAAAAACTAGTATTATGCATTCATCTTCTAAATATACAAAAGTCACAGTCACAACATCAAACATCAGTAAAGTCACTGAATCCTCTCCCGTATTATGTATTTTATCAAGTATTTAACTTTATGCATTTCGACGGGAAAATGCAATTGTTCAAGTATTTGATGGTATTTTGATAATATGAAGTCAATTACATACATGTTCATGTGTATGTGAAAATAATGTCAACTAAGATTGTATGCATGTAAGATATGCAATTATCCGTGTGGAAATTTATTCTATAAAATACATTTTCCATAAATTTGTCGGTGCAATAATAGAATCGACATTCAAGGTAGTAAAAACATATTAAAACAAAGAAAACTCATAGATTAATGAATTTGTTTATATAAATGATTAGTGAAATAATTAAAAAAAAATTATTATGTTCTTGCAGCCAATGACAACACTTCATGAAAGCAATTACAATGGAAGTGATTTTATTGCATACATACGTTTTATTTTGAAAGCTTAAACACTTATATTTGTTCTTTAATTTTGTTTACATCTTATGTAGTGTTCTTTAATTTTGTTTACATCTTATGAGTGATATTTGTTAACATAAATATTTATCTTTTATTTGATTAAATTTTTTCAAAGGATTAAGTTGTAGTTAGATTCTTTAAGAAGACAAAGAGACTAAATTGTAGTCACTTCTTTAGGATTGAAAAATTTAAAGTGAAAGTCACTTGAACAAATTTTAGTAAAATTATAATCAGTTGGTTTATAGTGAAAATATTTCAAGAATGAAAAAATTAGATGTAACTCCAGATTGTGAGGTAAATCAAATTTGTGTCAACCTCTCTCTCTATAATTATTTATATTCAACATTTATGTTTGAATTGAGTTTTATCTATTCAAAAAATGTTTTTAATCTCCAATACACTCAAATCTTCATTTTTTTTTGGTATTTTTTTCACATTCAATTATCTCTTAATCAACACTTAATCATGTAAGAGTAAATATTTATGCAAAAAAAAAAAAAGGAATGGTTGAACATATAAACATTACTGTTGAAGAGAATAATAATTCTTACTTTGAATCTCCAATATTTAATGGTGAAAGATTTGACTATTAGAAGGATATATTTTTTAGTTTATTCATTTTTTAAGATTTAGATCTTTGGAATTTAGTACTAATTGTTGGGAATTACACCAAATTTATAGAGAATTCCAAATCAATTTTGATGAACAAGATTCAATCAACCAGATCGAATTCTTCTTGTTCTTTACTTGAGTGATTCAACCAACCTTAATTGTAGGATGATTCTGCGCATCAATTAACAATGGAGAAAAGAGAAAAGATGAATTGGGGAAGAAAGAGAAGTTAGGATTTGAACAAAGAAGAAATAATTCTGCAGAGTTTCTTTATCGCCATAAACTGTAGAAAACTTTATTTTTTTGCAATTGCAAATTCAGTGTTACAATATAGGGGTTACTCCCCTATTTATAATTTTAGGTTAGCTTGCATCCTAAGTCAAAACCTAAAATGTAACACCCTTCTAAACTTCAAAGAATATTTGCGAAATAATTAAATCAGAGTAATGCACCAAAAAGGGTGTCACATTTGCTTCAAACAAACTTTATAGTAAAACACATTCTTGCTTCGTAACACGGATTTTAAAAAATCAATTGCATTAAGTACTTCATGATTAACAACCATGGTTTTTCAACTTACTCAAAGCGGAAATTCATATTTCAAAAATATCTTTATTAAGATACTTCTAAATAACTTCATCAAATCAAAACAACTCAAATACCACAATGGTAGTTCAAATCCCAAAATAAATAAAGTAACATGGTTATTCAAAACAAACTATCTCATCTCCGATGTTACATATCAGAGAAAGACCCTCTTATTCTACAGGAAATAAAGAACTCACTTTGCATCTATCCTCTAAGCCTCAGCGGACTATTCTTGATTACCTGCAAGTTATCCACGTATAGAGGCAACATTTTTAAACAACAAGGGTAAGTAATCATAATCATTATAAAAGACATAAGGAGTAAATATACTAGTTATAATACAACACCAAAGAAACACACCATTGAAATCTCATGTCATACTCACACCTTCAAGCATCATAATACACATTGACACATGGTAATGCCATCAAATAAAAATTAACACAAACACGCATTTACAAAACATCAGTCAATCAAATTACCATGCAATACCACATATAATGCAATGCAACTTCTTTAGATTCATGCATATGGTACCAAAACTTCACTCATGATATCGTCATCGTTTTCTCCAAAGATACCTACCAATAGGATCGATTTCCGCTTGGAACCGGAGAACATCACAATTTGCACTCAAATAGACACTATGGCATTGAGGCCATCACTAGACCAATCGTCCTGCACCTTCACTAGACCGAAGTCTTAACAACATCACTGGACTGAAGTCTTACTCTTATACCATGAATGCATGATGTGAACCATCTTAATAACCAAATGACCACTACTAGTCAAAATGCATCATCATTCATATAATCATCATAAATATCAACACATACATCACAACACGAAACAACATCATCATAGCATCAACGATTTATTATATACACATACGTCATACTAAAACAATCTCTGAATCATCCTATTCATCAAAACATAAGTACTGTAATTATACTTCCTATTATTAATTTTATTACACCTATTCATAGTTTATTGCGTTAGATATCCAATGCTTCGAACGACGCCTCAAGCAGAGTTCTAAAACTCAAGTTATGACACTTTAAAAATCACGTTGTTGTCCATCGCCTAGTGCTCGCCTGAGGCTCGCCCGACAACGTGGGAGTGACAGCCCACCAATTCTTCTCTGGCCTCCATCGCTCGGCGATGCATCTTGCTCACCTGGTGGCACACCTCTTTCTCCTGCATCGCCTGACGATGACACGAGCGAGACATTTCAGTAGCTCCACTTTTCTGCCCATCCCTTCGCTTCCAAGTTCGCCCGGCAACGACCAGGCGACGTCGTCATCGCCCGGCGACGCTTCCTATCGCTCAATGATCCTGCACGAACATGACTTTCCTGTTGCAATCTCTGCATTGTACCAGTCTGGTTTTTACACGATTTCATCATATTATAGGTCTCAAATCATCATAATTTTACTAGATTTTATCATATAACAACAACACAATTTACCATACATCATATACATTAATTATTTGCAAGAAAACATCACAATTTCACCAATTTATCATCAAACATCATATTAGGATCATCAAACAGAAACCCAACACAAACCTACAATTATCTAAACCTTAGATCAATTATAATAACAACAATAAACCCCATTACCTTATATTTCCAACAATTTCTACTTCTTATTTGCGTTCTAACGGGTTCTCTTCCTCTTCCTCTGTGCCCTAGCCTCTTCTCTCTTCTTTTCTTCCAAAAGAAATCATACCGAATGAATCTCTCAAACCTCAAAAGTCTCTATTTGTCACTCTTACCCCTTGGAACCCTAATATGGTTCTTCCACCTTTGTCCCCATTTAACTTCTTCTAATTGACCATTATGCCCTTGTCATCTCTAACACCAATATTATTCTATTTAACTAATTAAAATAATTCTAATTAATTATTCTAATCATCTAAATTATTCTAAAATACTTTATACCTTCTTAATTCCTACTACCCAATATACCCCACACAAAACATCATATCAAGCATCATGATCATCCATACATCACATAAACATCATAATTAAGCCACAAATACTCAACATAAATTAATCAAATAATTAAACAAATAAAATCTAATTATTTTGGGGTGTTACAACTCTCCCCCACTTAAAATAATTTTCTCCCTCGAAAATTATCTGACGGAAATAAATACGGATAAAGACTCTCTCATCTGATCTTCGTGTTCCCAAGTCCAACTTTCATCGGCTGGTCCATCCCACATTACCTTCACTAAGGATATGTGTTTACCCCGCAATTGCTTCACTTTCTGTCCTTCTATCTGCACAGGTGATGCTTCAACAGTCTGGTTATCTATCACCAATACATTATTCATTTGAATCACATGCGAAGGATCCAAAATGTACTTTCTCAAATGAGATACATGAAACACGTCATGAAGAATCGCAAGCGACTACAGTAAAGTAATCCGATAGGCCACCTCACCTATCTTCTCTGAAATATAATATGGACCAACAAAATGCGACATAAGCTTCTTCGACTTCAAACCTCTACCAACACCAGTCATTCGAGTAACTTTTTAAAACACATGGCCATCCTTTTAGAATTCGATTGCCTTCCTCCTCTTGCCATGATAACTCTTCTGAAGACTCTAAGATACTTTCATACTCTCTTGAATCATCTTAATCTTTTTAGTCGTCTCCTATACGTTCTCAGGTCCGAGCACATCTCTCTCGCCCCAAATCATACCAACACAATGGATTTCTACACCTCTTACCATACAGCGCTTCATACGGTGCCATACCAATACTCACATGAAAAATATTATTGTATGTAAACTCAATCAACAAAAATTATTATCCCAAGACCCCCCCTTGTTCTAGCACACAAGCCCTTAACAAATCCTCCAAAGACTAAATAGTCCTCTCCATCTGACCGTCCGTCTGCGGATGGTATGTAGAGCTCAATCTAAACTTAGTACGAAAAGAATTCTGCAAACCTTCCCAGAATTTTGACATAAACCTCGGATTTCTATCCGACATGATACTCGAAGGTATTTCATGCAACTTCACAATCTCATCAATATACGTCTCATCTAGCTTCTCCATAGGATGATTGACCTTCATCTGTAAGAAATGAGCCGACTTAGTCAACCTATCAACTATCACCTAAATAGAGTCATTACCTTTAGCAGTCTTCGGTAAACCTGACACAAAATCCATAGAGACACTGTCCCATTTCCACTCTAGAATACTCAAAGGTTGCATAAGACCTGTAGGCTTCTGATGTTCAATCTTCGACTTCTGACAATTCAAACAAGCATAAACGAACTTAGCAGTCTCCTTCTTCATACCAGGCCACCAAAATAACTTCTTCAAGTCTTAATACATCTTTATGGCACCAGGATGAATACTCAACCCGCTTCGATTTCCTTCTTCGATAATACTTCTCTTAAGTTCTGGAATATCTAGAACACACACTCTATTTTCGAACCTTATTACACCATTATAATCAACTTTGAACTCACCTCCATTACCTTGGTTAATCGAGGTCAACTGGTCAACCAACTTCAAATCATATTTCTGACCTTCTCGGATTTCTTCTATTATACCACTAGTCACTTTCAACATTTCCAACTTCACTCTATCAGAAGTCTATTCACTTACTAAGCTCATATCTCTAAATTGTTTGCTCATCTATAATTCTCGAACCATAAGCATTGACATGTGCAACAATTTTCTTCTCAATGCATCAGTGTAATACGGTGGAAGAACTGACTTATTTAGCATTTTATCGCAAATGTTACAGTTAGCTAGAGTCGCCACCGACTTTTCTTTTATCTAATATAAGGAAAGGCTGAAAAGAAAAGGAAAGACCTTGATAGATTTTGAGTTCGGGGGGTAAGTTATAAAAAGAGAAGGTGTTAGCACCCTTTTCATCCGTGGTTATCTACGGACTCTTAATCTCTAGCTCACTTTTTGAAATTTTCTTTGTGTGTGTGATTTGTTTGAAAAATATTTTGAAAAGCCAAAGTAAAGTCAACTTTGTAATGATTCTTGTATCAGTCCTTAAGAACGCGTACAAAGTGTTTAAAATATTTTGTTTGAAAAGTGTGATGTGAAAAAAAAGTTTATTTTAGAAAATATTGTGAGCAAGCGATTAAAAGTTCCTTACCCACTAAAGGTCATTCTTATTGTTTTCCTTCTCTGTTAGAGATAGTGCTACCCATACCGTTAGTTGGTAGGTAGCTTTATCTATTGGATGTGAAGGGACAAGTGTAGGGTCATCGAATGGTCATTGAAGGCAACTTATAGAGATACTTTAGCAATTTGTATCGGAGAGACTAGATCATTTTTCATAGGCAACATCGAAGGATTATCGAGGGTCTATGATCTTTATTCGAGAGTCTTTTGCTAAAGTATCCCTATTTTCGAGGGACATGACCATTATTTCCGAAGGCAATGAAGAGAGGTTACCCTAGAGGTGATGTGTGCATAGTGTGTTCAATTACAATTATATTATCTTGAAAGTTAGGGTGTTCTACCGATTAACTTTTATTCTTGCCATACAAGCCTAATTACTACACAATTATATATATATATATATATATATATATATATATATATATATATATATATATATATATATATATATATATATATATATATATATATATATATATATATATATATATATATATATATATATATATATATATATATATATATATATATATATATATATATATATATATATATATATATATATATATATAAGGCATGAAGTATAAATGTGGAAAAGTAAAGTCCTACGCTATGACAAGGTCTTGAGGTAGTTACATGATAAAGAAATTGTGCGGGAATCTAAACTAGGTTATTACAATTTTTATACAATCAATTGTCTACAAATAAATAGCAAATAAATAAAAATACATGTTAAATTTTTTTAAAAAAAAAACCTAAATGTCTAAAATATCACCTCTTTTTTTTTGGTTTGTATTTTTGGGTTAATTTTAAGCATTTAGAAAATAATTAGTTATCTAATTCTAAATTAATTACAAAAGTTTATTAATTAAAAAAAACTAAGTCTAATAAAATTAAATTAAAAAAATATGTTCAAAATTAGATTAATTAATAAAAACTCTAAGACTATATTTTATTTTTATTTTTTATGGATTAAAACGATTAGTAGGAAATTAAATAAGAAAATAAGTAAAAATAATGGAAAGTGGAAAAGATTAGAAAACAGATAAAAGATGGTTGCAAGCGTCCAGGCTCGAACCCACACTCTCTCCTTTGCCAAACAAGAACACTACCACTGCACCATGAAACTGTAATACCCCAAAATTTTCCTATCCTTTTACTTTTATCTGACTTATGCATTGTCGCGCTTTTCTCATGTACATAACTCCATTAGGTCATTTAACATTGCATACATTCACTAACAACATAACTTGACAAGGGGTCGAGAACCTTCAAGAATTAGGGTTTCAATATTGGTTTTCAGTGGAGATTGCTTTAAGATAGAGTTTGGTTCCTCTTCACCATTTCAAGCCTCATCATCCATCTCCAAGAGTTATTTAAGGCATTTATATTATGTGCTCCGCAAGTCAAGATATCTTTGAAGATTGAGGTGCAAAAGCATTGAGTTATGATACAAGGATGAAGAGGTAAGTTCACTGCGAACAAGGCATTATTGTCCTCTCAATTGCTTATTTCTTGTAGAGCAATATAATATAGATTTGAGATCGAGGTTAGGAGTTTTGACAAGAAGGCAAGTTGATTTAGGTTTTTGTTTGTTAAGAATTAAAGTCAATTTGGATTCATTGAAACTACTAATTATGCTCAAGATTAATATCAGCTCAAGGTCTCAATTTCATGATTTGGCAATGGTTGATTCAAGATAAAGTTAGAAGATTCGTTCATGTGGTTCTCTTGGTGTACAAGTCACGAATTTGCAAAGAATTACAAGTCATAACATCATTCAAGGTTATTCATTTAGTTTTGTTCATCAAAACTCATCAAGATCCAAGGGTTCACGTTCATTCAATGATATGATCTTTACAAGTTCTAAACATCACGCATGATTTGTCAAAGGGGTATCCAACTTCATTCTCGGTCATAACCATGCAATTTACAAGCTATGTTATTGGAGCATTACAAGAGAAAATTATAAAGGCCATTTACATCCAAAATTACTAAATCAAAACAAAAATTTACACTAAATCTTCAAGCAACCTTTGCATTAGGTTCCAACTTCAACCATGTTTGTTCCATGCCTAGACCATACCTTAATTCTATACTTGAAAACCTGAAAAAACAACGATTCGACATCATCAACAATCATGTATAAAATTCATTCACAAAACCAGTATAAGACATTCAAAACATTACTTCAAATAAACCATAAACCTTCCCTGCATTCACTAATCCTAACAAAGCTTCACCAACATGTTAATAGTTACAATTAACTTCAAGCTGATTACTTCAATCAAACATCAGAATACTAACAACTATAACGGAAAACTAACAGAACCATGAAAGACGTCATCACTAACAACTTCCATGGCACCAATCCTACAAGTCGATTCTAGAAAGGTTCACATGATATTACTCGGCAGTTTACCAAGAATCTGGAAAAACGTTGCTGATATTATGTTTGTTCCCCAAGAACCATCAACTCACCCTCCTAACTACTTATAACAAACTGCTAGCAGAAATCTGTAACAAAAAAAACATATCAGGAAATATCAATTGAGAAAAACCAGAAAATATCAGTACAAGCAGCCTGCAGAATTTGTCAGCAGCAATAAGCGTTTCACTTTATTTTCTAGTTCCCTTAAGGTAATCAACATCAACAGGACACCTCCAGTGTCTTCAATGCGTCAACCTATGTTTGGTATATCACCTTCGCTAACCTCTAACCAACTACCTATTTCACATTCAAAACAGAACTTCATAACAAACACCCTAACCGTAATCTCTAAATATAACCCCTAACTGCCTTAAAAAAGGATTCCAACCAAGAGAAAAAACAGATAAATGCAAGACAGAAAAAGAATTGAGTCTAACAGAAAATAGACCCCTGCAAAACTTCTGAACAAATTCCAAAAGAGGAGGAAACAAAGAGCAGAACAGATTCACAAAAGAGAACTCACCAATCTTCTTGGCGCTCTCTCTGAGTTTCATCTTCATCTTCCTCCAATCATCAACACCAAATCATCACATCACCTGCCTCGTTCTTGATATTGCATCATAAAACTTCACTGCAATCCTCTATGTACTCTCTATGCTTGGCCATTTCAAGCTTATTCATCACTCTACATCAATACATCACAACACAGAAGAATCCATATGGGGCTTAACATACACCGTGCCCTGCAATTTACATCAGTAAAGTCATCCCATGCTTCAGTTCAAAAACAAGGAAAACAGATGGAATGAGTTCTCACAAATAACCACCTCATAACAAAAATTCCTAACTGTTCAAACTAACCACTGCCAGCTCATCCTAACTACCTTAAAACATCTAACTAACACTTAACAAACTGGCAGCCTCTCAATCTCTACCCTCCATTTTTATAACAAACTCACATAAACCGATGGTCAGGATTCAATTCATTTTCTAACTAACTATCTCAGATTTAACAAGATATACAAGCTGAAAACTCACCTCAATTCGGAAGGGGGTTCTTCAATCTGTAGGAGGATCACCAAAAATTGAGAAAAAAAACTCTCTCTCTGAACCTTCAATAACAGAATCTTCACCAACTCGTTCCATCTTCATCCTCAAAACCACCATCGCCCTCCATCTTCATCTTCTCCCTGAAATTCTCTGAACTCCATCTTCACTCATCAATTTGTATAACCGTTACCGCATTGACATATTTCAAATCTTCATCTTCTCGAATCTTCCAGTTCAACTCGAAAACTCTCAGCATCACTACAACAACCATGCTTTCCTGCTTCTGAATCAACATCATAATATCTTTAGCAATTACGCGTCCATCTCGACTCTGCAACGTCATCACGGTGCTCCAGTAAGAACAACAGCGATTCAAGAATAGAAGAAACTAGGAGAAGGAGAAAGAATAGAAAATTAAAGAGAATCGCATACCTGAGCTATTGGAACCTCCCCTCTTGTTTTCTATTCGCGTAATCTCCAAACAGTTCACAGTTAAATTGCTTACGACTCCATTTCTTCTTCCTCTTTTCATTTTGTTCTGATACCGTTACATATCGGAGAAGATGAGGGCGAAGATGTGAGATTGCGACGAATGCCACAGAGATGGAAACCGAATCTGGAAAACTGAGATGAGAAGAAGTTAGAGACAGATAATACAAAGGTGTAGTTGTAATAGATCTGGGGAGTGGACGAGCTCCGCCGCTTCTGGCGTGGCGGAGCGATTTCCATTGGTTTAGAGGAGAAACAGAGAGACACGACAGCTGAAGAAGAGAAGAATCTATGTGTACCATATAAATCCAATCGTCACAATTCCAAACCCTAATTCCTTTTCCCAATTTTATTTATTGTTTATTTTTATTATTATTGATTAAATAAATAATTGGAACAGTAAAAATGTTGATAGTGTTGTTGGATTGTGCTGGATCTTAGCGGACCATGTTAAAGCCATAAAGCCCATGCTATAAGATTTTTGGGACGTTTGGATTGCAATAGAACAAAAACTGCTATGATTCTCAAGTCTAGATCCTGGGCCGAAATCTACCTCCTATAAGCCCAAATGCATCAATTTCAATTTTTTCTTGAACGCTTGGTACACAAAAAAAACATGCTGGACCCAATTTGAATGGGGTTAGCGCCCTCGCTACTACCAGACCCCCATCCTGACTTTATACTCCCAGTTTCTTTTTTCATTTTGTTTAAATACTCTTTTATAATTCTTGTCAATAAAATACATGATAAAATGTAATAAAACCAAATATAATAAAAACAATAGAGAATAGTGGAGTATAACAGATTTTATTTCTAGGAATTAATTCTTCAGTTTTTGTTAGAATTTTTCCTTACATAAAAAACTAATAAAAATACTTTTCTTTTAGTTTTTGTTCATATTTTACACTGTTTTGCCTTGTTATTTTTGACGCGTTTGTTCATTATGCAAGGAACTTCTGATTATGCATTGCATTCGCAATACGCGTTTTCCTTTATCTTAATTGGACATTGTTTCTGACTTTGTTTGTTTCTTGGTAAAGCTTGCTCGACGCGTACTCCCTGCTTTTTCAGTACTTCCGTCTGCTCTTGACGACTTGCTTGCTTTGGTAGCCTCCGCTACTAACCTTGTACTCCTTCGCAATTTATTGCATTTTGTTATCGCTTTTTAGATATCATGTGTAGTAGGAAATAAAGAGCGTGCGCTCGAAGTCGCTGTTTAAAGACCTGTAGCAAGCATTCCGCACTTCATTTGATATATGTATTGTGCTTGTGTTTGTTTACTTTCTTATTGATCGACGAGTCACTCAATTTAGAAATTGAGATCACGACTTCGTTCTTAGTGCATGCTCCCTATAGGATTTTATCACTTTCCTTTATTTCTTGTTGATCGATGAGTCACTCAATTTAGAAATTAAGATCACGACTTCGCTCTCATTGCATGTTCCCTATAGGATAGTTTTGTTAGATTTTCTTTGGCATGCTAACCTAGATAGGATCTCTTTAGGTTTTCTCTCTTGAGTTTACTGGCTTGTTTGATTTATCCCTGTAGTTACCATGTTCCCTTAGGACGCGCTTGCTCCGTTCGGACGCAAGTTAGACCTTAGGTTGCAAACCATGCATGCTGACATTAGGTAGAAACTTCCCCTTTCATCCTTGACATAGGGCTACCATTGTATGATAACATTAGGTTAGAAATAGGCTAGTCTCCCTTAGACTCTTTTCTTCCCCTTTTTGCATCCTTGCATCTAAAATAAAAACTCATTTTTTAGCAAATCAAAAACATGTTAATCTCACCTAAACCCTTCTTTCAAGGTAATAAAATACAAACCAATTCAAACCATTTTGTGCGCTCGAGAACTTGTTCTCTAAAACCCTTTTCAGGTAAGGACATGATTAATTTACTTCATTGCTAACGCATAGGTCTCCAAAGGTCGAGCTGCGGCAGAAGGCGGAATTAACATTGTCCATAAAAAACACAAAACAAACAAAAATATATGAGCTGAACTACGGTAGCTCTGATTCCTCAAAAAAGATACGTAGGCATTGGGGTAGGGCCCAAGCGAGCATAATTTTATTTTCCCTACATTCTTTTCCCCTTTCTTTTGCACGCATTCTCCCTTCAGTAATATAGTAAACAGTAAGCATAGATTAAACGCACCCATAAGATAAATAACAAGAGTGGATACCATAGAGTACTATGGGAGTGTGGGGTGCTAATACCTTCCCCTCGCGTAACATACTCCCTTACTCGATATCTCGGTCGCAAGACCGTGATTTCTCCCTATTGCATTTTATTGTCTTCTATATACCACTGTTGTACTGGATCTGCTCCTTATTGGGTGGGTGCTACTATGAGGTAAAAGGACCAATACCTAGGCCAGAGTTGTATACCATAGGAACCCTAGGAATAGAGTGGAACATGAACGACTAGTTGACTTAGGTCTCACTATCGCCGCCATGTCGTCCATGCTCAGATGAGGTACAAGTGAGTGGCTATCGTTTTCACGTAGGTGATACGGTGATAGTTTTTCAGGAGTACCCTTGATTCTGAGTTACCATTGCCTTACCCTAACCTAGTTTTCACCCGTGAGTGGGGAGGGAATTATTATCACAGGTACAATTGGTGACTATGTTCAGATGATTGCTCAAATTCAGATGGTGACCATGCTCAGACAGTGACTATTGGTTCTAATGGTTATGTCCTGGATTTCTATCAGTAACTAGGGGAATCTCAGATTTATTTTCTGGGTCCGGAATCTGTTCATGATGTTCCTTGGTTTATGTTCTGGACCTGTGATCTTGGTACCCACAGACTGCAGAAACAGTACAACAGAAACCGGTATCATGGAAGTAGTAACCCCATGATCATTTGCACTCACACCATATCATATTTATTTTTTAAAAGAAATATCAGAAAAATAAGACTATATACTAACCCTGCATGTGCACGTCCATTCCGGGTTACTTCACGATGTTATAGTTTCCGTCAGTGACGTCTAGCAATAGTGATGCTCTCAAGAGGATCAGGAGGGACGATTGTACTTATCCGTGCTACCCAAGCTTTCCGCTCAAGTTCTTGGCCTTTTTGAATAGTTTAAAAGACCATTTAGTCCACCCTAATGCAAAAAAATCTTATCAGAAAACATGATGGTGCTTTGACTCTACCTCAGTTTTACAACCATGAGTTACACTGTTTCACCTTCCAAGACTATCAGATTGTTCTAACTCCTGAAAAATACTCTCGTTTGTTCAAGATTGTTGAGCACACTTGTTGCTGGTCCGAACGGGCATGATTTTGAAACTATCACTATGGCACTTTATTTGGGCCTTGATGATGTGAGATAGAAGATAGAAATGGAAGAAGAATGGTAGCCTACATTCAGACTGATTATTATATTGTTGCTTCAATCACCGACAAGCTTGTTAGACAGAGTTGCTCATCTTGTACTCCCATAACTTTCGTGTATTCAATTCTGCGGGAATTTCTCTTGTTTCTGGATATTTTCTTCATACAGTCATTCTTATCATCATGTTGCTCGATTACTGTTGATGGTAATTGAACAGTGAAAAACCAGAATGGACAATCATTTCATACATCATACATATCATGCATTTCATGAATTGCAGGTTTTCTTGCAGGATTTTTATCTGATGGTTTTGCCTCTTATTATTAGAATCTACAAGACGACTTTCTTACATCCATATCGCACTCGAGCCAACAAGTTGAGGATTATGGAACAGATTGAGCAGAACCAGGCCGCTCTCCGCAAAGACATGGACACCATGGGTGATTGGATGAATTAGCTCATGGAAACTCTTCATGCCATCATCCAAGGGCAGGAAGAGCTCAAAATAAGCGTTACTAAGCTGGTAGACAGTGCCTCCACATCCGAGAATGGCGGGCTCAGAAACGACCATGGGGGGATTCCTAAGGAGAACCCACGACTGATTATGGATGACCACCATGATGTCATCAATTTCGATGACCCTCCAAAGGATTCTTTGGCTGATTTGTCTAAAACCGCTAAGATGTACAAGGCTCTGGAAGAACGCTTGAAGGCCATGGAGACTTCTAAGAAGCCGGGATTCAGTGCCGGTGCTATGTGTTTGGTTCAAGGGGTTGTGATTCCACCAAAGTTTAAGGTACCTGATTTCGACAAGTATAAGGGGGGTTACATGCCCAGAGACTCATCTCCGATCTTACTGCAGAAAGATGGCTGCTTATGCTAGCAATGAGCCATTGCTTATGCATTTATTTTAGGACAGTCTTGCTGAAGCTCCATTAGAGTGGTACATGCAGTTGGAGAAAACTCATGTTAGTAACTGGAGTGAGCTTGTTGATGCTTTCTTAAAACATTATCACTAAAACACTGCCATGGCGCCTAGCTGTGCACAGTTGAAGAGTATGTCTCAAAAGACTGGTGAGTCTTTCAAAGAGTATGCCCAGAGATGGCGCAGTTTGGCCGCAAGAGTTCAAACTCCTCTCCTAGATCGGGAACTAGTAGATCTGTTTATGAGTACCCTCTGAGGCCCGTATTTGCAACATATGCTCAGCAGTACTTCCGATTCGTTTTTAGATATGGTCATCATCGGGGAGCGGGTTGAAATGTGTATTAAAGTAGGAACTATTACGGGTGCATCTGGCACGAATGGTAACAACAACTCAGGTGGTGGGAAGAAACCGTACTCTAGAGGTTTCGTCAAGAAAAAGGAAGGAGAGGTGAGAAATGCCTCTGATGATAAGGGGAAAGCCATTGTACATGTTCCATATTACCAAACCTCTGCTGGTGCCCCGCAACAACAGTATGCACCGCCGTGGAACTATCAACAGAACCAAAGGCCCCAAGGACAAAGGGGTCAACAAAGGCCTCAAAGGTATCCTGAGAGGAAGTTGGATCCCATCCCAATGTCGTATGCCCAATTGCTTCCACAATTTCTATCCGGTCAATTGGTACAACTCCGAGAGATGGCTCCTCCTCCGGCTGAACTCCCGAGGGGTTATGACGTTAATGCACAGTGTGAATTTCATTCGGGTGCTCCAGGCCACTCGATTGAAAACTGCAGAGCTTTAAAATACAAGGTGCAATCTCTTTTGGATGCCAAGGAGCTAAGCTTCGCGCCTATAGGCCCTAACGTTTAGAACAATCCCATGCCTTCTCATCATGGGGCTGCTATCAATGCTATTGGGTTGGATGAGGGCCATGACTTAGTGACTCACATCTAAGAGATTCAAATGTCAATGACAATTTTGAGAGAGCATCTTTTACAGCAAGAAGTTCTACAAGAGCTTCACGACTTTTGT